ATACTGAAGCTGAAGCTCAAATACTTTGGCCACCAAATGAGAAGGGAGCACTCAGTGGAGAAGACCCTGATGCTGGGAAAGATTGAAGGTAAAAGAAGAAGGGGACGGCAAAGGATGAGATGGTTAGACAGTGTTATTGATGCAACGAACATGAAATTAAGCAAACTTCAGGGCATGATGGAAGACAGGAGGGCCTGGTGTGATGTGGTCCATGGGGTTGCGAAGAGTCAGACTCGACTGTGTGACTGAACAACAACAACAACAACAACAACATTGTATAACAACTGCTACAAATGAAACCTAGTGATTACCGGAGACAGAATGGATTATATTTGACATCATTCTAGTTCTAAATTTTTGTGGGAAATGTCAGGAACATAATAAACTCTTCAGGAAACACTGGTCATACAACACAGCAAAGAATAGTTTCAGTCAGTATTTCTGGTGTCTGCCCAAGCATGCACACAGATCTTTTAGGAAGCAGCAATTCCATGCACCAGGAAAGCATTTGTGGTCAGAAAGGAATGTAACTAATAGTCGCCATTGGGGGGAAATCTGCAAGGTGGAATTCAGGTACATTAGAAAAGAGGCAGGTCATATTAGATTCATGACACAGCTTTGTACACAATGTTCATCACATGGATTAATCTGTTTATATCACTGCAGCTTTTTATCCATTTATCCATTCCACAGCTGCAAGGCACTATCTATCTACCTATCTACCTATCTATCTATCTGTGATATATTCCAATCCACAGAAATACCTACACAATCCTGGGTACAATATGCCACAGACAGAAAGACTAGGTGGATTGCAGAATGACAATTACAGAACAATCAGACTGAGATGACTCCCACAACAATATCTCCCCACACATACACACAAGCTGCAGAGGAAGACAAAAATGCCCCAAATGTAAATCCCCCATCCCATAATCCCTGTCTATTTAAACTGGGGCAATATTCATTCTTGGCTATAAAAAGTACTTAAAATTTTATATCTTTCTGTCTATCTGTCTATCTTCCTCCAAAGTGACACATAGTGCAGTATATAATCACAAAACCTATAATGCTACTGCTAACAAAAAAAATCTAAAAAATCATGCTAAACCTAAGCTAAAAACCCAGCAAAGCCATAATGAAATACAGCTGAAGAAAAGAAGCAGAAACTCTACAGTGAAAAACAACTCCCTAAGCACTAACTAGTGCCAAAAAAGCCTTCTGAAAAAGCCATGTCATAACATGTCACCAGAAGAACAGCAGCTGAGAGCCCACACATGCTTGCATAGATGGAGCATTCCACAGAGAAAGTCCCACCATAGAAAAAGCATAGCCAAACCCGCTGTAATCCTCACATCCCTTCAACAGTAGACATTGAGCAGCACTTTCTCTACAGAACTGAGGACCCAGGGAGGGTATAAAGGTACAAATAGCATTTATATCTAGGGATGGGTGCAAACCGCATTTTTGCGGTTCAGTTCATGGCTGAACCATGAACGGAATCACAAACCGATATGCTGGTTCATGAACCAAACCAGTTCCTATCAGTTCGTAACTTATTTAAAGTTTAAACCCCTGCTTTCTGCTGGGGTTTAAACTTTAAATAGGTTACGTGACAGGGAGTATAGAGTAGGGATGGGAATGGACCAGAAAAATAGAGGGTCATATTGGTCCATGGTTCATGGGTTTCACGGACCACGGATCACAAATTTTCACAGACTTTGTTGTTTAACAGACCAGTCCATGGTTTGTGTAGTCTGTGACTTCAGGGCATGCTGGAATGCAACCCCCATGGGCTAGAGATGGCAGACTTGCAGCAAGTTTCCACCTGACTCTCCTCTACCTGTCTTCCAAGTTTAGTGAGGATTGGATTTAGGGGGGCTGATTTACCCAAAGCAGGTGCCCCCAGGAAAGTACTCTTTGGGGAAATCACAGCCGCGGGTTCAGGAGTGTGTCCAATGCCCCCCCCCCGCAAGCTAGACATATCAAAGTCACTGCAGACCTCCATGAAGTGGCCCTTTATCTGCCCTCCAAGTTGCCTGCAGATTGGCATTGGTGTGGGGAGAGATCCTAGGATCCAATGTGCAAAGAGGAAGGAGTCTGTCAAACGCTCCCCCCAGCTGACCTGGGGTGATTCTGCATCTAGCATTTGTTCCACATTTTCTCAACTGGGAGGGAAAAGTGCAGTTCAAAACCACATTCAGGGCTATTTTTGGGCAGGAACGCACAGGAACGGAGTTCCGGCTGGCTCCCAAGTTGGCCACGCCCAGCAGGAACTCATTAGCATAATAGGCCACACCCAACAGCAGAAACACATTAGAATTGGCTACATTAGGGGTGTGTGGCCTAACATGCAAAGGAGTTCCTGCTACAAAAAAAAGCCCTGGGTTTTGACCACAAACAAGGTCAACAGAATAAGAAGCAAAAGAAGTGTGGATGACCACACTTCTGGTAACATGGGTGTGTGGCCTAATATGCTAATGGGCTGTGCTGTCAGGGCTGTGGCCTAATATGCTAATGAGTTTCTGCTGTTGGGTGTGGCCTATTATGCTAATGAGTTCCTGCTGGGCTTTTTCTACAAAAAAAGCCCTGACACATTCAAATACCCCAGGCCAATGCCATACTGGCTGCAAAGTCACCCCTGAACGGCCATAAAATAGCCATAAATTTATGCAGAAGGTACCATAAAATCCGATAATCAAAGGAAGTGAAAGCAGCATGCAATGCAGAGGGGAATTTCTGTTCCAACGTGGGTTTGCTAAAATAATGGACGGAAAAGCCAATGCAGAACCAGCCCTGATATCTGTCGCCTGGAGATGTAATCCGTGGAGATCTCCAGCCACCTATATGGGCTCCCTCTTCACTACCACTATAGCAGCATAATGATGGGAATTTTATTAATTTTATATAAAATGCTAGTTTTTTGTTTCCCTCTGTTTGATTTCTTCCATACGGGGAAAGGATTTTGTAGTTTCCCTGTTGCTGGTGCTGCAAATAAAGCACATCATCAACCGGACTCCCACGTGGCAGATTCTCTGCCCCAATCCCTCGAAAGTAGCTACCACCCCCTCTCCTGGACCACCAGGGCTTTTGCAATGTTTTTTTTTTTAAGTCAGCACTAGAATATCATTGTAATTGTTGTAACAGAGAATGTTGTTATACTGTTGTAACAATAGAGCTTTTAGTTTCTTTGAATTCCCAGCTTTCATTTTTTAAAAAAAGTAAATCTATAGCCCCTTCCCTTGCAAAGATCCTACTTTAAAAAAAATAAATGAAAGGTTATAATTCAGAGAACTTGGTATACCTATTGTTACAATGGTATATTGATATAACGACATTCTAGAGCCAACTTTTTAAAAAGCCCACTGGTGGCAGGAGGAGGAAATGGCTGCTGTTGGGGACAACATGGCTGCCATGCGGGCCAGGAAATCTGAATTTTCCCAGCTACACAACAGCTATCCAGGTTTTACTGCAATCTTTCCCAAAAACTTTGGAGATAAGCAGGTTTGAGAGAGATCAGAGAAAACCTGGGAAACCCACGGTCAGTGCACGAATGCACCACAGTGCTGTGGGAAGGCAGGGAAAAAAATACTCCCCAAATACATAGAACTTGGGGCAGATAAAACACGTGGAAGACTCCTAGATGACCAGCTGACAGAGGAAGCAATACATCTCTGCTTGTAAATCACACAGGGAAGCACTGCTGACCCTCTTCCCCCCTTATGAAATATCTGTGCCAGAAGCTGGGCTTTAAAGCAGGGATCTACACTGAAGTCCTGATCCCTGCTGTTTCCTAGCCTGGGAGCAGTGGTGTCTTCCCATGATATGCTGTGGGCTGCCATACTTACCACGTCTGTAATTCTGATGGGCATGTTGCTAGCTATTACCATTCAAAAGCTCTCTGTTGCAGGTAATATTATAGTTTCAAGGGATGAAGACAGATTTGTAAAGCAAAAGAATACACAGAGAACGGGGTGTGAAACCAATTGTCCAAATTCAGTCAAACAGAACCTACCCTGTTTAAAAGGTCACAGTTTAGAGGATACATAGGTTAACTGGGCTCCCATTCTGAGAGCCTTTACTGCATAACTGAAGTCAAGGGTTTCTAAATGGGAGCCCAGTTATAGGACTGACCTCTCATTCCTAGCCTGATTGGGAAGTTAAACTCATCTGACTGGGTACAGCTGAAGATTTATGGAATCAGCTGATCCTCTAGGTTAGGTTACATGAGTGTACAGCAGCGTTCAAGAGACTTACATATTCTAGGAAAGCAGTGTATGTTGTAATATTTTTATGAAATACCATGTAAGTATCTTATTCTTTTGCTAAGAAAGGATCAACTCTTAACCTGTAATGCTGCTTATATCATTCTAAAATGAAGAATACATTTAACAAGGATGTGACTATGCTACCCCCCCCCCCCCATAAAAAGCTCTGGATGATTTTCAGCCTCATTTACTTCTACTTAATATTGGTGTTTCTCCATGCAGGCTTTTTTAGTAGTGTGTGTGCGTGTACACACCCAATGTGAGGCATCAAAAGTTGCTAAACTAATGGCAAGGTGAACCTCTGAGCTGGATTGCTGCCCACTGTGAGAGCAAGTGGTTGTGTTGTGTTCCACTGTAATCTACCTCTTGGCAGGCTCGATCATACTGGGCCCCCCGAGCAAAACATGGGCCCCCTGAGTAAAAAGTTGTTAGCTACGGGCCTGGTATGTTGTAATATTTTTATGAAATACCATGTAAGTATCTTATTCTTTTGCTAAGAAAGGATCAACTCTTAACCTGTAATGCTGCTTATATCATTCTAAAATGAAGAATACATTTAACAAGGATGTGACTATGCTACCCCCCCCCCCCAATAAAAAGCTCTGGATGATTTTCAGCCTCATTTACTTCTACTTAATATTGGCTACAATTTCGGTTGTAAATCTTTCCTATTACAGAAGAGATATTTTATGAAGAAAGTCGAATAGGTTAAAAGCAAAAGAAATAACATACCTTCAGGTTCTTCTGTGCTGCTGGCCACAGTAGTGGGAGGAGCAACAGGAATTTCTGTGGGGAAGAAGAAAAAGTAGACAGACAAAGAGAAAAATAAACAGTGACAAAGAGGAAGTTATTTTCTCCAGTTAAGGAAAGCTTACTGGGCACTCTCACAGAACAAAGCAGGCAATAGCAACTGGACACTGAGGCTGCCATCTGGATGGCATTGCAAACAGCAATGACTCCATTGGTTTTGATGTATCAGGGTAGCATCAAAACAAGAGCCACATATTTCCAGAGCAATCTCTGGTTCCAACAGTAATTACTTTTCTTTTTGTGTGTGTGGGGGTTTAGAAACAGATGTAATTATCTTGAAATATAGTCAATGGCAACTCAGAAAACAAAATTCAATAGGTCATAAGGCTAGGACATTAGTGGATAAAGTGTTCCTGAATAGGCATTAAAATGGTAGAAAATATCCAGTGGATCACTGCATATGAGAGCTATATTTAGCATTTCCCCCAGAATTTACCATTATTACCATCAGAATTTACTATTTACTATTATCAGTTTAGCATAATTAATAAGCACCTGGCCTCAGCGCCAATCTATAGTCTTTCTTTTAAAGGGTGGTAAAGCTGGTTAGTGGAGCCCTATTTAGACATTCTAAAAACCGGGTACAATCATTATGCATCATCATAAATGTACATATTGGCTTTGCTCCCAACAGCCATGTGTTGATCATTCATTGATACAAGTTACGTGAAAATCTATATCCAGCATTTTACAGAGTAGAGTTTGCTCAAATTAGCCTTCATGTGTATAGAGTCTTTTAGGCTGTGTGGAAAAAATAAAATCAATGCATGGAAATTGGAGAGGGGGTAGGTCTTGCTGCTTCAGTTCTGATCCCCATTCCATACATTAATTGTACCCAGTTTTTGAACATATGAATAAGGTAATTTACTGTGGATTTTGTTTAAATCTGTGTATACAGAACATAAAATGATAATAAAGCTAAATGACTCCATTGCTTCTCTCCTCCAGTTCTTGTGAACAAAATGTTGATGAAAACACATTATGCATTAATTGACCCTCATATGTAATCCTGAAAGTGCAAAATAATAGATGTGGTGGTGTAGTTATTTATGTGCTGTTCTTGTCTCTCACTCGTCCTGTGTGCAACTCAAAATGGCATGCATAGAGCTCCCATCCAGGCATTGATAAGACTGTGGTTGCCAACTCTGGGGGGGATTCCTGGAGATTTGGGGGGTGGAGCCTGGGGAGTGTGAAGTTCAGGGGTATATAATGCCACTGATCCCACCCTCCAAAGCAGCCATTTTCTCCAGGTAAAATGTGCTCTGTCATCTGAAGATCAGTTGTAATTCTGGAGGACAGGAACTTCAGGCTCCTTCTGGGTGATGGCAACCCAAGGTAAGATCAACATAGCTTGAACAAAGTTGCTGCATTTTGTGCCTTTAGACCACATGTACTTTCAGAGTACTTTCAAATTTGCTGATGTCTATTCAAGGCTATTTGAAATGCATATTGGGAGCAGGATCTGGGCATCCCACAAAGACTTAATTCTTTCAACCATAACCTTTCATTTCTGCATTAGCACCAAGGGAACTCAATGATGGGCATGATGTGGCTGTTCTTTGTTTCCAGGTGCAGCCCTTTTTTTGCTTTCCAAGGTTATTAGGGATTTTGCTTTGATATTTTTAAAGGCAGATGGAGACAGGGCCTGCTTCAATAATTTTAATGTCTCAAGTAGCATAAAATAATCGAAAACAGCAGTGACAACAGACAACAATGGGGAAGGAAAAGTGAATAGGAAATTGTTTATGTTTCATGATCCTACAGCAACCAACAGCCACTCAACAAATCTAACATGCGACATGATTTTTTAAAAACATTTTTTCTACACCTCAAAGCTGACCTTTGGAACTACCAAACATCATTGGCAGTAACAACCAGTGTCTATATGCCTATAAAATCATTTCCCTGAGTTCCGGTGTGACCAAGACAGAACACAGGATGGGTGCTTGCTGATGAATCAGTGTCCAATACAGAAAGGAGGGGTGGATCTTACGGCTGTCTTACCATTCCACTGTGCAACGTTTGAAGTCATCTTCCAATGTAAGGAGATGCTCTCTAACTTAAGTGGTTCTTCTGTTGTCAGAAAAGCTTCATAAGCTGGAGGAAGTAGAGGGTAGGATGTGATAGGATCCTCCTCACTAACAGGATTGATTCTCAGTGGCTCATTTCAGATCTGCTAATGATATCAAGTAGCTCCAAAGGCCAGACATGAATCAGGCTGGAAATATCGGGTTGCCATTTAATTGTATTCATATAGCCTAACCAGAGTGGCCAATGAGATGCACAAAATTCATCCATATAGTCATATACATAAATGCATGCAAAAATGCACCACAAACACAACATGCGGGGGTCACTGCACGTTATATTTTGAATGATTACACATTACAGACCCACAGTATATACCCACTCAAGCTGTACTTGTTGTCTGTTTCTCCGCTTGCTGTTAGGCCCAGCTTTGCACTATGTAAATGAATTAGAAATTAAAAAGTGCATGTGTTCAAAAAGAAATGCACTTACAGTGGGTAACGATATGGGATCATAACATGTACCCATTTAAACAGTAATGTGTAAAATAGTCAACAGTCTATCTAGATAAAACACTACATGAATGTATCCAGTCAGTTGTTAGTAAACAGGCCAAACTCAGGATTAGTTCTGTTATGGTATAGATTTCAGAAAGAGCATCCACCTACTTATGCAGGGGGCAATGGGAGATCTGCTTTGCTGGTAACCTTTGGCACATCGATTGCAAGTTATGCCCGTCACGCCATCTTTGCAGGGACATTGCCCTGTGGTTTGATTACAGGTTTTTCCAGCTGCACCCACGGGATGGCAATCACATGCTGTGGGGGGGAACACACAACAAGAGGATCAGAGGTGGGAGGCAGGGAGGATGGAGTATTTTTTCAAAAAGGATATGCAATATTAACTGGCAACCATATCAGAAGGAAGCAGAGATTGTGCTACCAGAGATTCAGGGATGAGATAAGAATAGCCAGTGCAGGGGTGAGGGGGTCTTCACCAATGTTCCCTCTAAGCTGTGGAGTCTTGTGAGCAAAAATCCTGCTTTGTGAGCTACTGGGATTAAAGTTGTGAGTGAGCAATTTGGCTACTGCATAAATTAGTTTGTTCTGGAGCCATCCTTACTGAGCTAAAACAAAAATGTGTGAGCTGGAGGCTGAAAAACTGTGAGCTAGCTCACACTAACTCAGCTTAGAGGGAACACTGATCTTCACCCATGAGGGCAACTGACAGATCCTAATATGAGTGCATTAGAAATGCAACAACCTGTCCCAGAAAACCTGAAAGGAAAGTGATGGCTTATCAAGGTAGTATGTTTGTCATTATAATCACCATCTTAGCACCCTTGCCAAGTATTATAAACCATAAACTTGTGGCCAAAGATAAATTTTAAAACTTTCAAGTCATATCTTTACCATCTAACCCCTAGTTCATGATACTACTAAAAGACAATCTATGTATCTGATGCCCTGGTCTGGATAGGCCCAGGCTAGCCTGATCAGATCAGATCTTGGAAGCTAAGGCCAGCCCTGACTAGTATTTGGAGACTACCAAGGAATATCAGGGTTGTGACATGGAGGCAGGCAATGGCAAACCACCTCTGAACATCTCTTGAAAACCCCACAGGATCGCCATAAATCAGCAGTGACTTGACCGCAAAATAAAGAAATAAATCTGTTACAACTAAAGTTATTTCTGAGTAAATCCAGTTGAAGACAATGAGAGTTAAATTAGTTGTAGCTAACTTTTTCCATAGATTTCAGTGGCATTTAGTCACAGCTAATCTTAATGGGATTGGAGTCTATAATATATATCAGCCTTTAAAATGCTCCTAATATATTTTATTTTAAAGGGATCAATCTGCCAGCATTTTAAAGGCATCAATCTGCAAGTATCTAAAGGACAACTTGGTGATTCAGGGAAGTCAGCACGAATTCGTCCTCAACAGATCCTGCCAGACCAACCTCATTTCCTTCTTTGATTGAGTGATGAGCTTACTGGATCGAGGAAATGCTTTTGATGTTGTTAACTTGGATTTCAGTAAAGCTTTTGACAGGGTTCCCCATGATGTTCTGATGGGGAAACTAGAGGACTGTGGACTGGACTGTAGAATAGTTAGGTGGATAGGGAAGCGGTTGGAGAACCACACTCATAGAGTAGTTGTCAATGACATTTCATCTGAATGGAGGGAGGTGTCCAGTGGGGTGCTACAGGACTCAGTTCTGGGCCCGGTACTTTTCAATATTTTTATAAATGATCTGGATGAGGGTGTGGAGGGGTTACTCATTAAATTTGCAGATGACACCAAATTGGGAGGAGCAACGAACACACCAGAAGATAGACATAGAATTCAATGATATCTGAACTCGCTAGAAAAGTGGGCAGATGTGAACAAGATGCAACTTAACAAGGATAAGTGCTGAGTTCCACATCTGGGTAACAAAAATGAGGAACATGCATACTGGATGGGGGATACACTTCTGAGTAGCAGCGTGTGTGAACAAGATTTTGGGCTACGGGTGGACTGAAAGTTAAATATAAGCAGCCAGTGTGATGCAGAAACAAAAAAGGCTAATGTGATCTTGGGGTGTATCAGCAGAGGCATAACATCCAAATTGCAAGATGTCATAGTCCCGCTGTACATTGCATTGGTCAGGGCACACCTGGGGTATTGTGTGCAGTTCTGGAGGCCTCCCTACAAAAAGGATGTGGATGGAATGGAGGGTCACAGAGAAGGGTGACGAGGATGATCAGGGGCCTGGAGACCAAACCCTCTGAGGAAAGGCTGAGGGACTTGGGAATGTTTAGTCTGGAGAAGAGGAGGTTGAAGGGAGACATGATTGCTCTCTTCAAGTATTTGAAGGGCTGTCACTTAGGTCGAATTCACATGTGTTTCTTGCCTGTTTCCTGACATTTTCGCTCCCATCCCCCAACAAACTGTCTACATTTACATCCGGTTTCATGCTGGCAGTGCGCCAGTATAAAAATCAGTGTCTGCATATGTTTCCCGCCCTCTGGTAGTGACTCCATTGTCATAGCCACTCAACACTGGTTTAAATGAATGCTGTTCTTTGCTGCTCTAACCCCTCCTTTCTGGTTTCGTTGCGCTGTCAACCTAATGCAGACATTTTTGAGCCGTTGCTCCGCTAATTCTTAAATAATTCCAACAGGTTGTGCACAAAAAACTAGGCGGTAAGTCGTGGTTCGATTCCAACAGTACACTTTTCTTTTTTTACCAGCTAGCCCCCAAAATAATTTTTTTTAAATTTTTCTCTTATTTTGAAGGTTTTATTTCTTGACCCCTTTTACAGACCAACTGAACATGTTAAAGTTCACTACTAGTGCAGTAAGAGCTTGCATTTATCTCAAAATGTTTAAATCCAGAAATGGCGTTTCTAATTTTATTCCTGCTTGGCTCTATTTCCTCATAGCTATGTACCCGCCCTCAAATCTTATCTTCCAAAACTTATCTATCCGCTTTCAAACCACTTATTTTCTTGAACCCCCCCCTCCCGCTTTATGGGACATTTTTAAGTTCACCGGGGGGGGGGGATTTACTTCGAGCTGTAGGAAGCACACTCAGCAGTAAAACACAAGACCTTGTGTTTAGCTCAGTGGGTA